CTCTTCCGACACGTAAAGCCAGTGGTGCGCACGTAATAGTCTGCGTTTTGTCATACGCAAAGGAATCCTGTTTACAAATCCATTATTCTCAGGCCATTGGATGTACATTTTCTTAAACGCTTTTTTATTTTCAGCAGAATGGCTTTGTATGAACCATTTGAACCGGGGAATGGAGTGTACATGGGACAGAAATTCTGGGATATGCTCAGGCAGTTGGCCAGAGCCAGCTCACCCTGCAGAGACACGGGGCCCATCTGAGAGCTGGCGGGGCAGCTCCTCGACGGGTGAGGGTCAGAACCGTGAGCCCGACAGAACTGAGGGTCTACGTTAAGTTAGAGAGTTTTCAGACTCCCCCTCAGCTCCAGATCTGCCCCGAAACCCTGTTGCTTCCCATCACTCTCATTTCAGTTTTAATATTAAACTCCATAATGGTTTATCAGTTACTGCTCCCATCGCCCCCCTCAACAGCTTTAAAACAATAACCCAACATTACAGGATCAACTAAGAACGTGTCTTTTTAGATCATTTCCAATCTTCTGCCGAGTGCACTAATTGCTTGTTCTTGTGCATTGCTGTTTGCAATTTAACCATAGATTTCCAGTCTGACAGTGATAGTTTTAACCCTACTTTATGGGAGGAGCAGAGACAGCAACGTATGACTGTTGCCTTTGAATTTGAAGAAAAAAAGGAAGAGGAGGAAAATGCAGGGAAAGTTAAGGTAAGTTCTATTATTTGATTTATTCTGTAATTTGCATATTATGGACAGGGTCCAATTTACAGATCTTGAGTTGAACTATTTTTGTGTTCTAAATACCCAGAAAGTACTCGTCACCATGTTTCGAGTAGAGAAGTTGAGGAAGAATACTGTATCTGTTCTCCCTGAGAACATTCCCAATTTCTACTTTGACTGTTGTTGTCTAGACAGCAAAACTTGGATTTCCTAAGTCTGTTCAGGCCCATAGCCCTGACGTCGCGTTCCTACTGTGACAGATATTTTGTCACAAAGACAAAATTAACACAAAATATTGGGAGACTCAGAATTAATGTCCAACCACTTAGTTCTTTAGAAGTATTTAGATCACGTAGGGGATTCCATATTTGTCTCAAAGTGGACGTCAACGAGAGCTTTGCAACATCATGGAGTTACACAGGAACGTGCAGTGGAGGGGGTAGCTCTCATCAGTTTTGTAACCTACCAAAAATGAAGATCAAAACATGAATATCCTCCCCCAGTTATCTGAAATTAATATAATTCCAGACTTTACAATTTACCCCTTAATCAGTTACATTGTTAAAAGGATATTGTCAGCACTGTCTATGTTTACGTGGCATGAAAACTTGTATTTCTTGAATAATGTAAAGGATTTACCCTACATCAATCACTTAAACACTGCAATTTTTAGCTGTGATAGGATACCCAACATAAAATATATTGCCAGCGACAAAAATCATATGAGGAGATTTAAATAATATTTTACGTTTAAAGTTAACGATACTATTATTAATAGCTATTTAACTTTCCATTTAGATTTTCTTGAAAATTTTGGATTTATCTTTTTAATATTTTTCCCAATTAGGAATTTTCATCTAACTCTTGTAATCAGAGATAATGGACTCTGCTGCTTTGCCTCACAATAAGTAGATTAAACTGTAAGTGTACCCCAGATGAATTGCAGGTTTATGGGTTACATATGGAAAACAGAGGATCTGGGAGAGTTTGATACTGTTCCACCACTTCTTATCAGAATTTTAACTGTGGGTAATATGACTGTCCAAATATGCAAAACAATTGACATCTTAAAGATAAATAGATATTAATTTCTAAGGTCATAGAATAATTTAAATGTATTATTTGTTATTTGCAAGCAGTATTTTAAATATTGAAATGTAATATATGAATTATATCACTTAGCCATTTTGGTTTTAATATATTTCAGAACACTATGAATGACTGAAACAAATGTTTCCTTTGAGTAAACTGTTCTTGTAGAAAACAATAAACCCTTCATCCACTGAATGCCGTTCCTGTACTTCAGTTCACATGCTGCCATCTGCTGTATGCAAAACGGGGAGGCAGACGCAGCCAAGACACAGTCCCACATTGTCAGGTTTCCTAGAAACAGCACTTAACAAAAATAGCTGGCCGGCACCCATGCTGCGGGCAGATGTCTCTGCGCGGTGGGATCCCAGGCCCCGGCGCTTCGTACCAGAGCTGCTGAGGATGCGATGGCTGCCCAGGTTGCAGTGCTTCTTCCAGGGCCGTTTGCTCATCCCTGGCAGCTGCCACCAAGCCGGGTCTGTGGAGCATTGTATTCCCAGAGGTGTGCCTCGCTGGGCTGCCGTCAGCCCCGCTGCAGCAGAACGGGAGACGGGCAGTGGTGCTGCAGCGGGAGGAGTGGTTTGTACCACGTGGGCGATCCACGGCCCACAGCATTGCACCTCTCCTTGATGTTTTGGCTTGGCCATCCGAAGGTCAAGACAGTCTTTATCCTTTGTATCACTGCTCCTTAGTTGTGGAGGAGTCCAACACGGAAATATACTTCCTGGAGTTCGTTCTCCCTCTCATCCACAGAGAGTGGGTGTAAGCCAATGTTGTAGTGCATGAGATTCCTCTATTCCCACGTACACACCAATGTTCTTCTCCTCCATAATGATCCTAATGTCTAATGATCCAGAACACTGCATTTTGCAGCTGATGCTGTAGTTATTGCTTATATAGGGAAGAATTCTTAAATGAAAAGCTAAGCGGCGAGCTAAGAGCTGATCAGATATTTCCTCCCATATGTGTACCCTGAAGAGAGTATCTCTCCTGTCTCGTTACTTACTGTGTGTACACCAAATAGATACCCATAAATACTTGGAGTTTGTAAAAACTGAAAGTAGAGAAATAATACTGTTCAAAGTAGACAAATAATACTGTTTAAACCTGGGAAATCTTGCCAGGCTGTGAAAGGAAAAAGATTTCCCACTGAAGGTGTGTGTGGGTTTTTCCCTATCACGGAAAACAGCCTTTTTGCGCAAGCCATGAAAAAAATGAGCTCAAATTCAATTACTCTTAATAAGATAGAAATGTTTATTTGCATCCTTCTAGTATGTCTGTGCTCTTTCCCAGCAATGCCAATTCATCTCTGTATATCAACGTATATCAATGTATATCAATGACCATTGATATACAGCCTGGGCTAGTAGAGGGTGTCCTTGCCCGTGGCAGGGAGCTGGAACTAGATGGGCTTTGAGGTCCCTTCCAACCCAAACCAGTCTGGGATTCTGTGATAAACGTGTTTTAAAGAGTTACTTCATTGAACTGTTCGCCAGCCTGCGTTCAGACGCGGGCACATGAACTAAAAGCTAATTGCTGGCACCTTTTGAAAACTTAGCGTGTCACTCCATCCGTGTGTTGCAGTAGGTCTTAGGGAGGTTTTAACATGTACGTTTTTTGGCAGTTTCACCAGACCTTTATGGGATGAATTTAAGATTAACTCAAATTATCAATAGGCAGTAACCGCAAACAGTGGTAGTGTTTTATAAAAGCATACATAGTTTTCACTTTTTATCTTTCATGGTTAAAACTGAACTCTCGGCCAACTATGTTAAAGTAGATTTGGTAATTGAAATTGTTAATAACTTCTTACATCAAGAATTTTGAACTTTGAAAATTCTCTTTTCAGGGTCATGCTACTTTTGATGTAGCATTAAACATACAAGAGTTGTATTGACAGGGAGTACAGATTACCTCCACAATGATAAGTCTCAATCAGTGATGAAAATATCTGCATTCTAGCAGATATCACCTATGACAGCTGCCAGTGTTTTTACTGTTTAATATTAAGACTGACAGTGATCTGAAACTTTCGCTGAAACCCCTGTCTATGACTTGTCTGTCTCATGGTAGTCTTTCAGTTAATTCTTCCTTGACTAGTACTTATTGAGGATTTGCTCTATGACTTGACATTTAGCTGTGTTTGTCTGTAGACCTTACACTTAAATCATGGCCTGAATTTTGTGAAAAAGCAATTGCCTAATTAGGCCACATCTAAATACGATTTCTTTCAACCGTAAATCAACCAGAGCTTTAGTAATGCTTTACCGACTTAATTTATTTTTTCCGTTGAAATTCTTTATTAACATATGACATCATAGTCATACATTTTAATGTTTTATGTTAAAGTCATGTCAGAATCTATTATCTGTAATGTTTATTCTATTGTGGTTCAGAACTGTATGCTAGTATTTCATATAGTTTTATTTTCCCAATTGATCATACTTTTGCTTCTAAAATATTCCTATCAGCAGACTGTATTCATTTGAATCCAGAATTACCTTTTTCCTACTTGTTAGGAATTTAAAATCCAGCAGTTATAATAGCGAGCTATTAGAAGTAAGCTGCCTTTGCTTACCACATGTCTACAGTGAGGTAAAAGCTTCTTTGTGGTAAATGCTTCCAAATACTTATCACATGGTGAATGTGGAGTAATTTCAAATTTCACAGCCTCACGATCAGGAATAGTTATCCTGACTTGCACAGCTTGCACTGGGAGCTGTAATTTTACTCCACTGAAGGATTTTATTGCATTTCCACCACAGATTCAGGCCCAAAGCGAGTGGCAGGCCCGGCCAGCACCTCCTGCATTCAGCTGACTGCGTTTGGTGGCTGGCGGTGCGCTGGGCGGTGGGCTCGCCGCTCAGCAGCCGCGCTTTCCGGTTCGCCTCGTGAACCCAAGTTTGGCGCTTCAGCCATGACCATCTTTCACAGCTGGGGCAGAGGCAGGAGGTAGGGCGGGTTTGCAGCGGGGAGGGCAGGAGACACCCTGCGGAGGAGAGGGCCCCGCGCTGAGAGGGAAGCGGCTGCGCAGGCCGAGCTGAGGGGGCTGACC